TTACACAAGAGCCTTTGGTGAGGGACCTTGTCAAAGGCTTTCTGAAAATCCAAGTATACTATATCTACTGGATCCCCCTTGTCCGCATGTTTGTTAACCCCTTCAAAGAACTCTAATAGATTAGTAAGACAGGATTTCCCTTTACAGAAACCATGACGCCATAAGCGGGTCCGGTGAGGCAGGCGCTGTTATAGCCGGTGCCTCTGAAGCTGGTGCAGAGCGGCTGGTCAATTGCGGCACCGGCGTCAATTTCACAGAGCGCACAGCTGAGACCGGTGCAGACTTGCCAGCTAGCTGCGGCGCCGCTCCCGATGCTGGTGCCGAAGCCGCTCTCGCTCTCAGTGGTGGGGGCTCTCTGATGGCCACCCCAGCAGATTGTCCAGACTCCCCGGGGGTCATTTTGGATGCCCCTGAAGTCATTGCAGCTGCTGAAGGGAGGGATCACACTGAGGACGGCTTCGGTCGCTTCGAGCCGTCTGGTCCCGGGGAAGCCGCCCTGCGTTTTTGTTCAGGGGCTTTTGTGGCTGCGGGAGGGATCGGGTCAGGCTGCAATGCCTTCCTGAACATCAGCATTCTTATCTTCATCTCCCGCTCCCTCCGGGCTCTCGATGTTAATTTTCTACAGTGAGAGCACTTCGAGGACATGAGCTTCCCTCAGGCACCTAATGCAGGTGTCATGGCCGTCAGCCACTGGCATGTGCTTACGGCATGCCAAACACTTTTTAAAACCAGTCGATCCAGATATTTTCAAAATGAGTCTAAGGGACCTACTGTTTTTTTATCAGGCTTCCTGCTTCTAATGTACTTAAAAAACATTTTGCTATTTCTTTTTGCATTTTTGGCTAGCTGTTCCTCAAAATCTTTTTTTGCTTTTCTTATTATATTCTTACACTTGATTTGACAGTGTTTATGTTCCTTTCTATTTATCTCACTAGGATTGGACTGCCACTTCTTAAAAGATACCTTTTTGTCCCTCACTGCTTATTTTACATGGTGGCAAAGCCACGGTGACTCTTTTTTAGGTCTCTTGCTGTGCTTTTTAATTTGGGGTATACATTTAAGTTGGGCCTCTATTATGGTGTCTCTAAAAAGTTTCCATGCAGCTCGCAGGGATTTGGCTCTAGTCACTGTGCCTTTTAATTTGTTTAACTAACCTCCTCATTTTTGTGTAATTCCCCTTTTTGAAATTAAATGCCAGGGTGCTGGACTGCTGAGGTGTTCTTCCCACCACAGGAATGTTGAATGTTATTATATTATGATCACTATTCCCAAGCTGTCCTGTAACGGTTATTTCCTGGACCTGATCCTGCACTCCACTCAGGACTAAAATCGAGAATTGCCTCTCCCCTTGTGGGTTCCTGCAC